ATGCATTTCCTGCACTGCATAGATGCAAAAAAAGCGCATAAAAATGCAGTCTGTATAGATTCAATAATTGTTGCAGGCTCTCTCTCGGTTTATTTTGCGTGATCTAGATGATCCAACGTCGCTTAGAGCAACCCTCTTAATGAGCGACTTAATGCTTATGGTACGTATTCTTCTTCCTTTTCCTCTAAAAAACTGCAAAGTCTTGTCGTCCTTGTGCGGTTTTTATGCACGATGGGACAGTTCCATTGTCATTTTCACATGTTCTTTTGAAAATAATGGTGTCGTTCAAGACAAGATCGTATTACACAGCAAACGCCAAGGACACGCAAAAACTGCCAAAGCCTTGCGAAGTGCTTCTATTTGCGAATTGCTAAAGCCTTGCGAACATCTATCTCTTCAAAAGACAAAGTGCACGTCGAAATTACCAGTAAGCTGACAGTCAGACGATAAAGCGTTGGTCAAATAACTGAAAAAGTAGCCAGTTGCATAACTGTAAAATTACTTTATGAATTACAACTGCTGTAGATATTCCAAGGAAACCCGTCTGATAATGACTGTATTATTTGCAGGGTTCGACTTACTTACCAACTGAATGGAAACTTCGGGTCCTGAGTGTGCCAACTCTTGTACATAGTGCTTGTGAAGTAATGAGCGGAGAATTTGGACCTAAAAATGATCCCGGATGTAACGAAGGCGATCGCGGCGCTGCCTTTACATATTTCGATGCAAGGTTTCTTATTTGCGCACTAACATCATAAACACAATTATAATTTAAATTTTAGCGGATTTCGATTTTTCAATTTGACGTCTATTTTTTATGTGTTTTTGCATATGTGCAAATCGCAAAAACGCATTCTGAGAAGAGGCTGTGTGTGTGTGTGTGTCTGTGTGCGTGTGTGTCTCTGTGTTCACACTTTTTGCCACCCACCTTCAACTCGAGAACCAGAAAAGTTAGAAGACTGAAACTTCGGGAGTATGTGCCTATACCATGCGCGACCCTCCCGTTTTAATTCCATCCCCCTTGGACGCCTGGGTACCGCGTACGGAAACTTTAAAAAAATATGCAAATTTTTTGGCGGGAAAGCGATCTCGGGAACTACATGAGCTAAGGGTGAAACTTTGTAGGGATATTCCCTGTGCATGTACTAGCTAGAGATTTTAAATTCAGCCCCCAGGTATGCATGGCACTCACTTAAGGGCGTATGAAAGTTCCTGCAGGAAAATTACTAACTGGGCAGCCAGAAGAGCTAGGAGGCTGAAATTTTAGACGGATGTTCCCTGTCCACGTGCAATTTTCAAATTCAGCTTTTCAAGCACGTGGAGTACCCAAGTACAGGTGTGTGAAGGTTTTGGCGGGAAAATTGCTAACTCGGTAACCAGAAAAGCTGGAAAACTGAAATTTTGAGGGAATGTCCCCTGTCCAAGTACAATTTAAGTATTCCAAATTCAGCCTTGAGGTATGCGTGGTTCTTACGTACGGGCACTTAAAAGTCGACGAAAAAATTTCTCACTGAACAACTAGGTTGCTTTTAAAGAATGACTGTTAAATGGAAATTGTACATTTACTTTGCAAAATTTATGGTGATTTATGCTAATGGCCGCAAAAGGTAGGTGTAGAGCAACAGCCATTCATAAAGTTAATAACCTGAGTAATTCAAGTCCAGTGCAAAAACGCATGATCGCATGGGCCCGCCCGGTGCGTTTCAGCCTGAGTTAAAGTCTTTTTTAGTATTCATACTTTTATGCGTTTTTTGCGTCTATTCATTGCAGAAAACGCATATTGACGAGGGGTTGTCTGTGCATCTGCATCGATTTTTCATCTCGAGATTTACAAAAGCTACAGGGCCGAAACTTTGAGAACTTAATCTACATGCATGTACAAGCCCCGTCTTCAGAATGGGCGTTCTTACCTGCATGAAACCCACGTACAGGCTTGCCAAAGTTTTTGACGGACAGGCTGCTAACTCCCGAACTAGTAAAGCTAGGAAACTGCAATTTTAAGGGGCGTTCCTCGCCGTCATAGGTCCTAATGAGTTCAAACCCAGACTCCGGTATGCGTGTTTCCCACTTGCGGGATCGGGGGAAGTTTTTTCGGGTAAGTTGCTGACTTGAGAAACAGGAAAGCTAGAAAACTGAAATTTTAACGGGGTGTTTACTAATACTCCTACCGGCCAGTCTCAGTTCTAATACGGCAGGAAAATCCGGTGCCCAAAAACACACCTTCGCATCGGCAGTCGGTGCGCTAGCCATTTATTCTGTATTGTAACCAGGTACTATCGGTGGATAGTAGTGCTTCTTTCGTTTTGAAGGTCCTGGGCTCATCTCCGTCAGTGGAACAGTCAGTTCCTCTAAGAGTTGTTTGTTCATTTCAATAGTAAATTGCTGCCGGCGCATGCCAGGTTGTCGAAGCCGCCATTAGTTTTCTCATAAACAATGCTTAAAGGAAGGAAACCTTGCTTGCTGGTAACTGCTGTTGTCATTTGCTGCCGCTTCATCTCTTGTATAGGGCGAATAAGAGAGGGAGAAGTGGATTTATGTTCCTGCAGAGCTAGACTAGTGAACAGATTAGAAGAGCGATTTTCTGCAAGCGTAGTCTTCGTCTGTGCACAATTCCTAGTTGTAAAATTAATTTTCATATGCTTCTCTATATGATACATGGGTAGTCGTTTAGTTCGAGCTTCCATAATTGCTGAAAAAGAAATTATGCATTGCACGCGGACCGTGTGAGCTCCGCAACAGGTGGGATAAGCCTTCCTCACCGAGCAGTTGTTTCTGCAAATTTTTTGCAGTTATTTGAACGCCTTATACACTAAATTTTGCTTTTACTTATATGTTATGCGCTCCAGCAGGGCACAAATTAGTACTTTTTGATAAGCGCCTACTAGCTGTTTTAGGAATGCACCGCTTCTGCTTCATCGCTTGAACACTTTGAACGATATAACAATGACGCAAAAGACGCAGCCGGTCCCTGTGACAAACCTTGAGCTCTTTGTTCCAAGCAGTCCCGATTCTGTCCGATGGCATATTTCGAAATTGTCGGCGCCAAACTTTGATGTTGACGCGGGTAAGATGTCGTTTTTGACAAATTTATGGCAATGCGTTTGGCAGAAAGCGATTTTTTGAAATTGTTTAAAACGAATCGCAACTTGCAATTATTAACTCCTCGTGGATCTTTTGTGCGCCATGAGCTCTTTTTGGCACTAGTGGAAGTCCCAGTATGCTTTGCTTGTTGACGTTTTTATCGGCTCTGGTTATTTTTGCTATGGAAGATAACTTCTGCTTGGCAGACGCAGCTTATTCTGCTCTTATACTCAGTTGTAACCAAATTCTTTGTCCATCTTCACTGATTGTCCTAGGCAATAATCGTAGGTTCTTCACGAAGCCGAAGGCCGGTTTTCGATTTTCATGTTGAAAAAGTTTGAGTATAAGTAGCCATTCCACGACATTTTTGTTTAGATTTTTTCGGTTTTTTTTTATCTCAATGAACTGCTGTTTTATAGATGTGGAAGCGAAACTTAACGAGCTGTTGATGAAAACGGTCGGTTCGGATGGGCAGTTTCGTTGGGATGCTATTGACGTACTGCTCAGGTTTCTTGAACTGAGAGCGAATTTTTCCAAAGATACATCGAGCAAATACCCGGAAAAGTGCTACGTCATTTTCAAACAGGTAAAACTGAAAAAATTGCATATGTCTGTATGATGTCAGTTTGCAGTGCTTTTTCTCTTCTTCAATCGAAGGTTGAATATACACCGAAACTTATTTCCTCGGTTTTGTTCATTACACAATCGAAGTTCGCCCTACATTTCATCCTGTACGAGATGTTACGATGCCAGGAAGTAGCTAGAATTATCGCACTGCTTATGGGGCTAGTAAATTTTGTTGTCTTTCAGTTGTTTGCTTTCATTACACCAACGGAGGGCTTGCTGATAACAAGGTTCGATGGAGATCGTTTCACTATTGCGTGTTGTTGTCGCGCCGTACACGTTGCACTTCTGTTTTCCCGAAAAGATACGCTGTACAAAGAGCTGTTGCTGAATTTCATCGATGATTTCATCAAAAATATCTCGAAGGTATTCTCATTCTGTTTTCGGCATTTCCGTTTTACGCTTGGTTGCTTTGCCATAGTTGTGTTGAAAAAGAAAACGATTATTCTGGAATTGTGTTGAGTGTTTTAGGATGTACTAGATCGTGGGCCACTGTCACCGAAAAATTTGCTCAATAGTGGAGCAGCGTATTATTTTGCATTCATTGGTGCAATATCAGCGAGTGTTGAGGGCAGAAAGATGCTAGAAGCAACGCCTCTGCTGCAATTGTTAGTTCTTTGTGGTTATTTCAGTCAAACATCTCTGCTTTTCCTCTTTTCCTGTGCTTTTTTGACGGGCATGACACAGTGACAAGTAGCTCCACGCTGATGTTGAAAATCGAAGGTTCAACTCCGCCAATGGGACAGCCAGTCTCTGTAGGATTCGTTCATTCATTTCGATGATAAGCTAGTACTGGCGCAGACTTGCGAATGTAACCTGGTGTCAGTTTTTTGCTTTTAAGCTGTTCCTGAAAGAAGGAGCTGTCGCAAGCTTTGTCAGCTAAGTGGATGCTTTTGGTGTATGCTAGAATTTAGGCTACTTTCGATTGTTTCATAGTGGATGTGGACGCGTTTTTGTTATTTTAAATTCTAAATTTCACATTATTTTATGCCAAACCCAAAAGTCGCTACTGCTGTGTTGGTATGTTTAAAATCTCTTGCGGCGGCTACTGTAGCGTGTATAATTTATGAGGTATGTTTAGTGTTGATCGGCGGATGTCTGCTTGTTGTGCTGCTTTTTCGCAAAGATACTAAACAAACATCTAAAATTATCGCAAAGATGGTAGACAAACATCTAAAATTCAGAAAAATAAGTGTTTATTGTGTATCGGATCAACAAGACGTTCTGTTTTCTGCAAAATAACTATCCTTGTTTTTGAAAAAACGCATATTTTTACAGAAAACGCCACTCTTACAAATTTTTTGCATTAATCGTGCAGTCCTTACACATACCCTCTCCCTTCTGTTATCCTCAATGCTTTGAGATTTTAATTGGCTGTTCCTCCGCTGTCATAACTCTTTTCGCCATTTTCTTCACTTTTGAGCTATGCCTGCAATTCCATATGAATTTTCAAGCGCTTCTTTCCATCCTGTTTGCGCTGTCCCCAGTGTTTTTCTAACATTTTGCGATCTACATTCATAGAAAAAACTTGTGCTCTTTTTTTCTTACTTCCCAGATGGGAAAGAAAAGGATGGATCCAGAAACTGAATGGATGCCAATCTTACCAGTAGGCCGAGTAGCAGGTGAGACAGCATACGTCACAGAAGTCTTTCGAAATGGACGCATTATCACTCATCATAGGCTTGGAAGTATCGGATTTGAACATCAGTTTTTTTATTAATTTTGTTATCTGTTCTCTTTGGTAGTGCCGTAAGCTAAGCAGAGCCTCATTTATTTTGCCTCTCAAACAGTTCAAGGAAGAAATACCAGGGGTAGTCGTACCAGTTTGTGGTTACTGTTGGCGGGAT